GATTACAAGCATGTGCCACCATACCCGGTTTGGTTTGGGGTGTGTGTGTGTGTGTGTGTGTGTGTGTGTGTGTGTGTGTGTTGGTGGTTTTATTGTGGTACTGGGGTGGAACCCAGGGTTTTGTGCATGCTAGGCCAGCATGCGACCAAGTAAATGACAACCCCAGTTGACTTTCTGGGTCTTCTTAGAGAAGTCGCATTTCCTCTGTGGAGTAGAGAGTGGCTGCCGTCCCAGAAGGCACCTCTCTGCTTGCCTTTCCTGTCACCCAGGCTACTGTAAGGTGTGCTGCTCCCAGGGGCCCTCAGCTCTGAGAGTTGGAAGCCTGAGGCGGATGGCACACACAGACCTTCAGTGACGGGGACAGCAGGGAAGCATTTAACACGTCCCTGTGCCCCAAATCCCAGAGGTCCAGGATCCCACATGGCCTAGAAGCAGTGAGTTAAATGTCCACCTTGTGCAAACCTACATACAGTTTCTCAGAGGAAAACAGTAGGGCAGAGGGCTGGACCGAAAAGGGGATAAGAAATAGCCACCTTCTCCTTCATTCTGGCCAGTTGCCTTCCAATGCCCCAAGAAGAGTGAGCAGAGAGGCGGGCTTCACTTCCTTCCCTGGGTTCCCATGCCCATGGTTATCAGCTCTTAGGAATGAGTACCTCAGAAAATCTCCCTGGAATCTAGCCAGTGGTAGTGATGGCGCACGCCTTTAACCCCGGCACTCAGGAGGCCGAGGCAGATGGGTCTCTGAGTTCCAGGTCAGCCTGGTCTATAGAACCAGTTTCAGGACAATCTGGGCCACACAGGGAAATTCTGTCTTGAAAAACAAAGACTAAACAAACAAACAACAACAACAACAAAGCAGAGGGGAAAGGTGGCTCCTTCCAAACATAGACTTATGGCCGCTTTCCTAACCCACTCTCTTGCTCTCCCTCTCTATACACACACACCCCGCGTCCCAGACAAAACCTAGTTTTCTTTATTATTGATAACCTTAAAATCTAGGGAGATGGCTCATCAGTTAGAGCACCTGTTGACTCGGGTTCAGTTCCCAGCACCCACATGGTGGCTGACACCCGCCTCGTGCAGGGGTCCCACACTGGCCCTCCAAAGGCCAGTCTGTTTCCACAGACAGGAAGGACAGGTCTGAGTCAGCAGGCCCAGGACAGGGCCAGTCACAACACTACTTCAGGCCTGTCCTTCCTGTCTATGGAGATAGACTAGGCTATGAATCTGACAGTTTCATAGCAATTTAATAAAAGTCAAAGTATTAATGTCTTTATTTATTTATTTATTTATTTATTTTTTGTTTTTCGAGACAGGATTTCTCTGTAGTTTTGGAGCCTGTCCTGGAACTAGCTCTTGTAGACCAGGCTGGTCTCAAACTCACAGAGATCTGCCTGCCTCTGCCTCCCGAGAGCTGGGATTAAAGGCGTGCGCCACCACCGCCCGGCTTATTTTATTTATATGTATATGTGTAAGCTGCATGAGTATATGTGCACTTTGTGTGCCTGTGGTCTTTTAGCAGTTCCACACTGCCTGCACCCCCACCCTACCCCTGCCACTCCCCACCAAAACCCATTTCCCTGGGGTTACAATGTGGCAATGACAGGAGGAGGTGAGGAGGGCCCGGCTCCCCAGATCCTAGACTGTCCTCTCTATTCCCATGCTAAGCCAGTGACGAAAGCACAAAAGAAGTGCATCACGCTTTGGTTCCCTGGTGACAGAATCATAAAATTGGAGACTACCAGTACACAGCATTTTTCTCCGAAGATGAAGTCCATGGTGGGCCAAGGTTAAGCCCCAGGTCGCATGGTCAGACACAGAGTTATAATGGAGAAGTGTGGAGAACACCCCAGGCCTCCGAAACAGCCCCCTTCTTCCTCTTCCTACACTCTGTGACTTCTGTCTGCTGTCAGGCTTTCAAAGAAGCCTGAGGGAAACCATCCCATACAGTGGCCATCACCAGCAAGCTCCTGGGTACTCATCCCTGACCTGTACCCCAGGCCATCTCCTAGCTTTCTGATGGGTCCCACAGTAACCCTCTGCCCCAAGCAGGCTGGGGGATTATGGGAGGGCCCAGGGACCCCCTAGAGATCCAGACCAGGCCTCTGTAAGGGCTAACTCTCACTGGAGGTCTCACTCATATCCTTCCCACCAGGCAACTCCCCAGACAGCATTTCTCGAAGGAACAGAAACTAAGCTGTAGCCAGGCAAAGGGACTTGTCTAGACTGGTCCAGCTGGTCAAGGGCAGCTCTAGAGCTCTCAGGCCTGCCAATTCCATGAGCTTGTCCAATATAAAGTCACCCCCTGCAGCTCTGGAAACTAAGTTAGTATCACTAGCTATCTAACACCTCGCGTGATATGCTCATCCCATCGTCCCGGGTTACAGAGACACGAAGTCATGGTAGGATCTGACTGGAACAGTGGGGCTCTTTACAGATGCGGACCGGCCCGGGGATACGCATGTCTGGCTCTTGTTGCTCATCGGTAGGATGGAGGCGGCTGATGTTCAGCTCCATCTTTGACTTTCATGTGCTTCTGCTTGTGCATACAAAGAACAGCATCTTCCCAGGGAGCCACATGTGCCGATTCAGAAAGATGCAGTAATCCTAAGATGCTATCAAAGGTTAGAACATTTTTTCCTTATACAAGAACCCCATGGGGGAGGGGTGGAGCAATGGCTCCATGGTTTAGAGTACTTACTTGGTGTTCTTCCAGAGGATCCCGGTTCTATTCCCAGCACCCACTAGGAGGTTCACAATCATCCATAGCTCCAGTTTCAGGAGATCCAATCCACTCTTCTGACCAGGCATGTTCATACATGCGAACAAAATATTTATACACATAAGATAACATAAATCAAAAATAAATGAAATAATTCTTTAAAGAACTGCGTGGGCTGGGGAAAGGAGCCTCAGGGGCTGGAGAGATGGCCCAGCATATAAGAGCTTTTGCAGCTCTTCCTGAGGAGCCAGCTTCAATTCCCAGCACCCATGTCAGGTGGCTCACAACCACCTGAACTCCAGCTCCACGGGATCCAAAGCCACCACACGCACACACATCCACATAAATCTTTTAAAAAGAACAACACTTGGGCAACACGGGAGAAGAATCTGATGAGTCACAGCCCGACAGGGACGTGGCCTTTTCAGAAAGAGCATCTAGTGATCTGCACAAGTGCCCAGCACAGACTTGTTTAGACGGCAGGGGAACCGAGCTGAGCTGTCCTCACTGTCCCCGACCACAGGATAAACCTCTCACTTGGCTTCCATTCTGGCCCTGCTTGAGAAAGTACCCAAAGGACACTAGGGACATCCTCCACTTGGGCAGGCAGTTCTGCCTGGGGATCCTTCCTCCAGCCTGACTTCCCCCAAGGGGGTTAGGGTTGTTTGAGTGTCCCTGTGATGACTAATTGTGACTGTCAACTTGACTAAATTTAAGATCACGGACACGTCCCTGGGCATGTCCCTGAGGGCACCTCCAGAGAAATTTTAACTGAGAAGACTCACACACTGAAGGTGGGTGGCACCTTCCCTTGGGCTGGGGTTCTGAACTGAAGTGAGCTGAGCACAGACATTTGTCTCTCTGCTTCCTGACTGTGGATGTATGTGACATCCACCCTACTGTCCCCAGCACAGCTGCTCTGGCTCCCAGGCCTTCCCACTGTGATGGACTGCACTCTCAAAGTAGGAGCCAAAGCTCTCAGGGAGAGTGACACAGCCCTGGGGACCGGAAACTCACTGTGTAGACCAGGCTGGCATTGAGTTCTCTGAGATCCACTTTCCACCGGGTCCCAATTTAAGTTGCTTTTGGTAACTGCCACAGCAACAAGAAAACAAGAAGCTGCCACTCACTGACCCCATTTTATGTGTGTGTGTTCTTTCATTGCTGGGGCAGCAGAGCCCAGTGTTCTAGCACAGAAATGAATCAGTTTTGCCTTTCCAAGAGTCCCTCAGACCACACCTTTAATTCCAGCACTCAGAAGGCAGAGGCAGGCAGAGCTCTGTGAGTTCAAAGCCAGCCTAGTCTACAAAGCAAGTTCCAGGACAGCGAGAGTGTTACT